AAGGTGTGTTCTTTATTTGACTCATTTTTTTAAACTTTCAAATGAAAAATTTCCACAAAATTTCAAAAAGCACTATTTGCATTATTTTAAAAGCACTACTTAAAACAATAAGGATGATAAATTACATATTATGTGTTTTTTAAACTATAATGCTTTATTTATTTATTTATGGGGGTGGTACCGGGAATCGAACTTGGGTCCTTGCACTTGCGAGGCAGGCCGCTGAACCACTGAGCTAAATCCCTGGCCCTAAAATATAATGTTTTTTAAAAAAGGTACTATTGGATTCCCAATATTGTTTCAGAAAAGTAAACATGCAGTAACATCTAATAGCTTCAGTAACAATTTTAAGCTAAAGTTTATGTATGTGTGAAACTGCCTACAAAGGTATTTATTTATTGGTTTTATATTGTGTATTCTACAATTCGTTTTCATTTTAACTTAGCAAGTCTTTCTTAACTCAGATTTTAGTATCTTACCTAACCACTGTATCAAAAAGAAATTTTGCCATGAGGCCCAATAAATTTTTCTATTTCCAACAATTAAAATTTAATTCTCTACTTGCTTTAAATTTAATTTTAAACTGCTTAGGAGGAATTTACTTATCATGAACTAGATTTAGTTTGTGATAACTAAATTCAAACAAACACATTTTAAAATTAGTACATCTTTTTGTAGGGTTAAGAATTTAATATAAAGCAGAAAATTCACTTTTAAGATAAAAATGGTATCTTATAACTCAGAAGAAAATTGCATGAAGAAGCAATGACATACAAATAAAAGTAGTTAAGCAAAGTTGGTCTGAATATGGTGTTATTAAATTTTCTTTAAAATGTTTTATAAATAAGTAATTTCCAGAACTGTTTATAAATATTTATCTGAGTATAAAAGTATCACACTTATGAATTAATTATCTTGATGATGAGTAACTCTTAATACTCATCCTTATCTGCCAAAATTATAGACAATAACTGACTTATTAGCACAAGTTACAGTTTGTTATTACCATGCCACGTATTAAACTGATCTTTCCACTTGAGAAAAAAAGTAAAAACTCAACATGGGAAAAGTAATATTTGTAAGTAAAGAAGAGAAAAAAGTTTATTATATTTAAAATACAAATCAAAATAATGAATGAGTAGGCTATCGAACTCTGCTTGAATTTGCAAATTTTATAAAGACAATCACTTGAAACTCACCAGTTTTCAGCACAGAATTGTCTTGAGAAATTAAAGCTGTGGGTAGAGGGCTTAGAAAAGAGACTATATATTAACATTTAACATTTGTTTAGGAAAAAACTATAAATCAATTGTTGGGGCAGAATTATTTATTAAACACAACCATGTTATATGGTTTCATTTTAAAATATTAGTTTAGTGTCCAACATATAATACAAAAAAATTTTGGGTATATTAAAAGTATAAAATTTTAGAAATCAAATCATTAAAAGAAAGGGAGAAAGTAGACCTTCCTAATCAAACCCATAGTTAATAATGACTTTTGAAACTTAGAAGCAAAATATGAAATACAAGTAAAGGAAATATTTTTGTTAAACAAAAGAAAAAAATGTTTTAAATGCAAGCCTGCTTATTAAAAACAAAAACAAAAAACCCTCATCAATTGGGCAGGAAGAACGAAATAGGACATAAGGAAGGTGTGTGGAGAAAATATGACAGAAAAATATATTGTTTGATTTAAAAAAAAATGTTCCAACTAAAGCCATGCAAATGGCCAAAGGATATGAATAGAAAATGTGAAAAGTCATATTATAAACTCAAAGTATACACGTTTATATTCAACCTATAAGCAGGTAAGGAAGTATAAAATACAAGAAAAACATATTTTAACATTGTGAAAATACTTAGAATACTTAAAAGTGCTTAAAATATATTTTAAAGCTAATGAGAAATGCTCATAGAAACAGCTTTTCAGACTTTTTTGGTGGAATTAAAAATTATTTTATCTCTATCAGGAAGCACTGTCTAACATGCGGCCAAAATAACAAACACTGAATCGTATATTGCAGTGATTCTATCTGTAGAAATACATGTTTTAAAGGTGCAAAAAATGATTAAAAAGAAGATTCAAGATAAATATCATCAACACATTGTAATATATGGACCCCAACCAAAGCACACTGGTATGGGACAGTGGGAAGGCGTCTACACAAGCATCACATTTCAGGAAAAGAGTGGTTTGGAAGCCATTTTATAACGTGAAAAATGCTTTGGCATTGAGAAACAAGAAACAGAAAATGTATCGACATGAAATTGCTAGCGTAACACAAGTAACCCCTTATAAAAATAACTTCAGTCGGTCAAAGACCAAGGAGAGGCACTGACAGGTCAACCGTGAGCGAGTCACAGGGCAGCACGTGGGGAAGTTTCCTCAAATATCTGTCACACATTCATGACTTCTGTAAACAAATTGATCAAATAAAGTCAAAGCCTCCGTCAACATTATGAATTAATTTAAGATATGCTCTAACCTATGGCAGGGTACAGAAATATACTTAGGATAAAACAAAATTTTGAGTACAATTGATAATCAATATTGAAAGCATATATATGAAGATTTATGATCATAGTTCTGTTCACCCGGAGGTATTCTGGGTGAAAGTTTTCTTTACAAAGCTCTCATCCTTTTTATTTTATGTTTATATATTTTAATGCATGTATTTATGAAAAAAAGAACTTTAAGTATACAACAATATTAGCTTATTCAGCATATTTGCTCAATTTCTGTTGCAAGTATAGAAATATTTTCTGGGGAGAAATACAATTTTAAGGTTCCCTAGAAAAAGGTCATTATATAAGAAAATGCTTTTAAAACTGCTTAGCTTAACTGTCCAATTATTTAAAGACAGGACAACCAAAAATTGCGTATTTTTTCATTAATTTTTATAAGGTAATGTAGAAGGAAATATGAAAACGACAATCTTATCAGATTTATTCAGTACAAGACTGGACTGCCGAAATGACACCCTCGCGAGCCACGCCGGGCAACCAGTACACACACAGACAGCTGGCAACTGTTACATGGCTGAAGTCATGCCAAAAGGGAAAAAAACAAAAAAAACCCCACAAAACTATCTGTTTTCAAAACAACTCATAAAATATGATTTAAACTGAAACATACTTTACGCTGACTCCTACCCGACAACAGGTTCTGGGTTATGACAGCCACGTGAACAGCTCTGGCTGTTTTCCTTCTGGTCTTTAGCTGAGCCCAGGAAAAGCTGCACCCTTCTGGGTGTCGCTTCAGAAGGGAGCCACAGTGGACGCTGCCTCTTGACTCTCACGAGAAGCCGTCCAAACTGTGGCAAGTTGTTGGCATTCAGTAAATGCCTGATGGTTGGTGGCTGTTTCTATACAGCAGGGTCTGTTTAAGCCCAGACCTTGGAGGTTGCCGTCATAGTGTGTGTTTTTACATATCGTTTGGGCTCATTCCGAATTTCCCCAAGCACAGTGCTGCTCATGCTGGGGACTGAGAACCAGCTAGCCAATAATCATTCTTGCAGCAAAATGTCTGTACAAGCAAAATGTTGTCAGAATTTAAAGTCCTAACTTCCTACTTGATTTGAAACAGAACAGTAACAATGCAGAGAAGAAAAGGCAAGGTGAAAGGGGAAAAACCTCTTTTGTAGTTTTTGTTCAGTGGGATAAAAAATAAAAGTAAACTGAGCAGTGGATGCTGTGATCTGAAATAGACTTTATGTAAAAAAATGGTAATGAGATGAATTTGCCTTCTACAAGGAAAGCAAAGAAAGCTTTATCAAGCATGGACTAAAAATGGTAATGAGATGAATTTGCCTTCTACAAGGAAAGCAAAGAAAGCTTTATCAAGCATGGATAGACATCACTTTTAAGAGTCCGCTCAACTAGAAATGTTTCAAATATCTCTTCCCCCTGCTAAGAATGCAGCATATTACTTTCAATATAAATAAAATAACATGTGCATTTGGTATAGTGAAGTGTGCCTTGGTTTTATGCTCACTAACAGGATTCATGATATACTTTCATTATTTCAAAAGTGTTTCACAACTGCTAAATTGTAAACACTTTTTCATAACTCAAATGTAATTGATCTGGTGCTAAGTATCCAGGAAGGGACTGCAGTAGTACTCTTGGAAGAAAATGAGGCCCACTTCGGACAGGGTTTCCAAAAGTGAATTTGGCAACAGGTAGAAACCACATATGCAAGGTGTTTTTTTATTTTGTTTTGTTTTTTTCGTACCGGGGATCGAATTCCAGTCCTTGTGCTTGCGAGGCAGGCGGTGGAACCGCTGAGCTAAATCCTGGCCCTATCACACATGCAAGAGTACAGACACACATGAGAGTTTTCTACAGTAAGCTTGAAAAAGAAAAGAACTTCAAACTTGAACAGATCGCTAGCTTATGAGCACCACATGTGATTTTTCACTGGACTTGTTAATCTCTCTATAGGAAAGTCTTCCCTGGTGGCTGATGCTCGACACCACAGGTCTCAGCTCCAATGCCTGCCAACTCCTGATTATGTGCATGAAGAGAAAAATGAAAACATGAGATCCTTAAAAGCTCTAAATTCTGATTTTAGCATTACCTTCTCCTTCCCCTCAGTTACATAAGGCAAAATGATTAATGCAACTCTAAAGAGAGGACAGGGAAGCAGAAGATGGCAGGGGTTCCCAGCCCGTGTAACTGAGCAGTGACCACACACAGTACGTGGCAAGCTGGACTGGCCCTGTAGACATGTCTTAATTTTTATATGTAAATAAAGGTTCTGATGGTTTCAATCAGTAAGACTTAAATTTTGAACTGTAATGCAAAGAGAATATGTATCATTTGTACAAAACGTGTTCAGTTCCTCACAGACATACTCTTCTATAATGAAACAGCAAATCTTTTTTTCTCTGCCCCTGCCTTAGGACAATGGTAACGCCACACATTTCAATGCTGGCAACTGTCTGGTTCTCTGCAGACCCGCATGGTCTCCGCCTTCTGTCCGAAAGCGCTGCTTACCTTGCACTTGGGACACTTCTGGGCGTTCCTCTGCCCATGCTCGATTTCGCTGGCCCAGTGACGCAGCAGTTTGTCTCCTTTTTTGTACTCTTTGCAACTGACACCTTCGTGCCAAGGAGAGTGGCACTTAAAACACCAGACGAACTGGCAAGTGGGGCACTGGATCTGCGTGAGGAGAGAGAACATTCAGCGCTAGCAGACGACCCACAGCCCAGGGTGACGCTGCTTGGGAAGGTAGCTTCTACGTGCTAGCGCCATGCATTATTTTTGCTCTCAAAATTGTGCAGCAAAGTAGGCGAGAACATCAGAGAAGAGCATTTACAGACGGCGAGTCCGAGGCTCAGGGCAGCGAGTCACGCGCCCATGTGCTGGGAAGGATGCGTCCTTCTGGCTCCAGGGCCAGTGTACCATTCCTTGTGCTGAAACACCTGCTCCTCCTCCACGCCATTTCTTCCCTGACACTGAACCGTGGCAGCCATGCCGGCTGGGTGGTTACCGCCTTCCGGCCGGCTTGGCCCACTGGGGGCACATGCGCGACTGTCCCACGGGGTGGCCTGTCCCCTGCCTCCTGACGGGACAGCTGTATGTGCACCTCCGGTGGGTCAGAGCCACTCGGCAGTGAGACACCAGTCACAGCCACTGTGAATGGGTTAAAGACCAGTAGGTCAGAAGTCCACACAATTCCCAACCTAAGGTGAGTTGGGGAATCCTTTATCTCCCATGAACTAGAAGTTTCTTATTTCTTTTTTAAAGAATAGTAATGTCCAGGCCATTTAAAATAATTTTTCTAAAAACTAATAAATGTTTCTCCAATAACTAATAATAAGTAAGTCACCTTTTAAAGTTAGAAGGATGAGTTAAAGCAGGTGAGTTTTGGGCAATAAAACATCAAATGTTTCTTTTCTTATGCCACGGGATGAGGAGGTCTAGATGTCACCCTCCCTTGAGACCTCCTTGGGAACCCAGCAGATGGAGTGGGACAAAGTCAGGGCTACACGGCCCCTCTCACAGACCTGCTAGGATGTCAGATGGCCTGACTGTTCAACAGTTCTCTTCTCTCAGACATTTTTTTTTCTAATTCTAAATCACTGGACTCTCCCATTAGTAACTGTATTTTCTAAAAAGGCTCTTTGCGTTGTAATCAGACTTTATAAATGTGAAGGGACTTTGAAACTGGGATTACTGTATGAACGTCACGCATTACAGTGGTTCAGTTCACATCTATGGATCTCCAATTAGAATACTCAAACAATGTGATTTTTCCCAAGGTACCAGAATGATGGGATCAGACACTTGGTGTCAAAACCAGGGGCTGTGGCTGTCAATTTCCCAGGATAAGTGAAGTCCTCCCACAACCCTCACCAATGACTCTCAGATCGAGGAAGCAACACAAATCACTGAGAGTCACAGCTCACCATGCTGTGAGGTGAAAAAATAAAAGGATCAACATCCAAGACCAACAACTTGGTATTCAGAGATAATACGAGAACTGTTTTCACATTAACTTTCTGTTTAAAGATCCCCTCTTCATTCTGCCCTAACCACATCCAAAATTGGCCTCGTAGACACTTACAGTCCACGGCACAGTCTTTTTCCATTCACGCACACAGCAACTTCCTCAAGAAAAACCCTCTCCAGAGCACAGGTGGCCACGTGTGCCGCCCTCTAGAAATGAAGTGTGCGCACACAGGGGTGCACTGCTGAGCCCTTCTACTCCAAGCATGGCTCGAGGCTCAGCAAACCCGTCGTCTCCGAGAGCTTGGTGGAAAGAGAACCATGAATCCCCACTAGTCTCCACGTGCACAGGTCTTCAGGAGATGCCTGGCACGCTGGACTCCCACAAGCACTGTTCTCTACCATGTGACCCCCTGTCCTTGGCACAACTTGTCAGGCCAGGGATGGCCAAAAACGAGCTCACTGCTGGGTGCAGATGCAGGGCTGCCCCAGAGGTAGCTGGGTGAGCTCCGAGTAGCACAGGGCTCACTGGTGAGTGAAATCAGCGGAGGGAGATTTTCTCCAGAGGCTCGAGGTGGGGACACATGCACGCTGCCTTTGTGGTGGACACAGGTCACTGCAGCAGGGCAGCTGTCCGGGTCTCTCGGGCTCCAGGGCAGCTGCTGAGAACACTTGTGCGCAGCCTCCCCCGTGGAGCCTCAGGAAACCTTACCCACTGCAGTGGGCTGAGGACGGCCATCCGTGTCTATTCTTTAACTGAAGAGTCCAACTACACAGTCTGTTTACCGAGCTCTGACCCTGATGGAGGGCTCCTTGCTTCAAAACGTCCTCCCCATTCCTCTGCAGAGACAGTACTTTCTCATGGAATTTGCACCAGGTATGAAGGTGAGCAGTCTCCTTAGCAGCCCAGGAGCTGCTCATTCACTCCGTGTTTTCTTATTTAAGTAACACAGAACCTCTGGCATGCGTGGCAGACACCCAGTAGGTCATTTGTAAAATGAACTAAGTGAATTCAAAGGAAACCTGACATAGCTAATTGATAACCAGCAGCTAGGATGGCTTCACCGCTTCCTGGATTGCCAGACCTCACTCACAATTTTATCCTCACGATGCGTTAGTGAGCATCATGATTAATGCGCAAATTCTCCTACAAGAGGCAAAGCTGCAAATGCTTCAAGAATAAAGTTACCAGAATTTACAAATCTTGACTAATTTGCTTTAGAATCAATGGAAGCTAAAAGAACACTGCATGACTTTGATTTTAAAGGAAATGCACTATCCCGACAATCATACCACATGTGTACCAGTCCACTTGCCCAAAACAAGTATTTTCCCCGAAGAAGCATGAGGCCATGCAAAGAAACAAGCCACAAAATAAATACAAAATCAAAAGGAAAGAAAATCCCAGATAACTGTCTCCCCCTAAATTCTATATCCTCCTTTATATATCATTTTAAATAAGTCACAAAATCATTACTTGTTACTCTGAAGATGACAGCATCACTGCCTAAATTAAGTACTTTGGAGACAACAGTTAAAGTTCCTCAAGAGGAATTTGTTTCATTAGAATTTGAGGCTACATATTCAAAAATCTATTCAATAAAGAAACAATTAAATCGATTTATTTGCCCATTAATCAAATATTTATGCAGGGTCTCCCAGAGGTGCAGACTGACTGTACTGACTTCGTACCAAAGAATGAAAATACCCTGATCTAACGAATTTAAGAAGTGGACACAGAAGACCCTATAAGCAATACAACTGTGTACTGCTGGACAGAAGCTAGGAGTGGCCACTTCCATGAGTGCAGCCCCAGTCGACACAGGGGTCTGCGGGCAAGCGCAGAATGAGTAGCTGTTCTAATGTAGCCTCCACTAGCTCAGGACTGAACCTTGCTCAAGTGCCCCTAAAACGGAGTCCAGCAAGTTCCTATAACCCTGGACACATCCGCAAAAATATACTGTGGTCCAGAAACTACTGTGGACCGTGTGACAATGACAGCTGTCAAACCAGGGTGCTCTCTGGAGACGCTGACCCATCCGGCAAAGGACTGGGACTGTTCTGGTGACAAAGGGGTCCTTTAAGGGCCAAGGAAACTCTTCCTGCTCAGAAGAAGATGGGAAGAAGAGCAGAGCATTACAGAGAAGAGAAAGGAGGCTTCCAACACCTCCAGGCAGCGCTGCTTCCTTTTAATATCAAATCCCAGTCACAGTGTCAGCAGGGGTGAGGGACTCACAGGGTAGAGGTGACCTGACTTCTTGCCACCAGTCTTTCCTTGAGTTCACTGTCCCCCCGAGGGACACAGCAGTCAGAGAGGGCCCACATGTGGCCAAGGGGCCTCTGTATTACTTTTCCATGGCACTCCTGAAGCCAACCCCAAGGTTGGGGACCAAGAGCAGACAAAACCAGAGTGACATGTAACATGCTAAGCTCTATCAGGATCCAATGTTTGTCAACAGTCTTCAGCCCAGACCTCCCTCAGTATTGGTTAAACAACCGTAACACATTCTGGGTACCACAATTCCTTTGCCTTGATGCTAGTGTTCATTTGTGGGGTGCATTTCCGTGGAGGAATGCCGGGACATGGGGCTGGGTCATCTAGGAGGAGTCCCTCCCCCTCTTTCTAACTTGGGTCACTACTCACACCTGTCCAGCTGGAAACACCATCAAGCACTGACAGATCCTCCCTCTAAATCCAGAAAGCAAGATCCAGGAAAACGTTTGTTTAAGTCTATTTCCGGTGTGCAGTTACATCACGGATGAATCCAAAATGTACTGGAAAATCCTGCCTTCATTTGTGCAGCCCAAACTCCTAGCCAGTGAAGTGCGGCATCATGCGCTTTTCAACAGGTCCGTTCTGAACACAACACAGCAGGGGTCACATCTCATAAGGGACACACACAGGAGGTAGCAGTGTGCAAGAAGAAATGGGGCTACTCTGTGACTAAGTGAAAAGCCAGAGAAAGTGAGAGAAAAGGGAGAGGAGGGGAGGGAGGAGGAGAGGAGGGAAAGAGGGAGGGGACCCCAACCTGAACTCAGCAGTGAATTCCTGCAGTTAGAGAGCTCGGAGACGGGAAGGGAATGGCTGTACAGCTAACAATTTGCTTCACGGCAGCCTCACAATAAGAGTCCGGTAGGCACTGGCTCTACTGGCTCCACTAGGTCCCCAACCAACCTAGGAGGGAAATAAGGACACGCAGGAGCACAAAGGGTGGGAGATGAGAAATGCACCATGCTAATTCCTCTTGTCATCCTCTGACAACTTGAGATCCAAGCACCAGATCTGGTCAGTGTAGCCCCTCCTCCCAGCAGTCATCAGAGAGGAATTGACTCTTCGACTAGCAGATAAATGTGATTAAGTAAAATTAAAAAAGCAACAATGAAAGTTCTCAACACCACTGCAGGTCAAAACATGGTAGCTATGGGTCTTGATTACTATATTAATTCAGTAGGATTTTTTTTTTAGGGCCTGACCTAGGCTGAAGTAGCAGATAACTTTCATTATTTAAGTGTTGAGAGAAGCTGAAGTCCAAGCAAAAACTCTAAAATATTATAGCTATTTTATGCATCAGGCAAGTAGAGAACAAGAAACATTAGCAAAGCACTCATTAGTAACTGAAGGGAGAAAAGCACTCAAATACAATTTAGTAGGCTTGCACCACAGCGGTGCATTATAAATTGTTCAAAGGTGACACCTGTAACACACCCTT